AGAGTGAACTAAAGGCCTCATTTCCCTTACATCAGTTGGAGGCAAATGCAATAAAAAGTGACCAGTCTGTGCCCCCTCCACACACAGTTCCACCCTTTGAGTAGAGCACCCACCATGTTCCATTGTAAATACTGCTTTCTCCCACCATCCCTCAAAAAAGCCTTAAAGACCACACCCTCAAAGCAAACAAAAGATTTGCTACATGTCTGGGGTTTTGTTTTATCTTTTAAATCCGTGTTCCTGTTCCCCTCCACTATTACGGAAAAGCAGCCGCTAATGGACACGCCTGTTTATTTAACAGGTGAACTGTGCACGTTTACCAATTCTGCTAAACCTCTCGGCCTGCCCACCCACCAGAGCTCCCTGCAGATGTATGACCGAAGGCCTTGTCTGAGCAGCCCCTCCCTGGGCAGGGCAGTAGGTCTTCAGCCACTGAAATGACCCCTCCTCCCTGTTTGTACGCAGGTCTTCTCGGCCCCGAAAGCGGGAGGGGCGGGGGACGGGGTTCAGATTCTCTTTGTCTTTGCAAACCGCCTTCCTTCCATGGACTTGCTCGTGGCACGTGCGTCTTAGGTAAAGGCTGAGTTGCGAGTTGATTTATTCGGGGGTTAATTGCTGGGAGCCAAAAGATCCCCCGGCCGACATTCCCATAGCACTAAGTGGTGTTTCCCTCTTCACTGGAAGGGCTCCACCATCGTTGTTCCCTCCACCACTGGCCCCTCCCTAGGGGGTCGAGAAAACCAACCACAACGGCCCCGCGGCGTCCTGCTCTCTACCCACACGAGGGCGCTCGCTCCACGCCCCACTATGCTGGCCGCCGCGACGCCGGGAAGGTATCTTTGGGGGGGCGGATAGAGCCAAGGCTTGGACGCGGCCGTGCAGACCGGGAGCTCAACCTGGGTCCCTTCCTGGTTCCCAGCTGTGCCAGTCCCTACTCCCTGCGGGGAAGGAGAGGCCACTAGAGGGACGCCAAGAGGTGAGGCTTCCAGTCTTCTTGGGACTGTTGGCTCATCCCCACCCCCTGGAGGAAGAAGACTCAATTCAGCAGAGTTGGGCCCCCTGGGAAGTGGGGAGGTGACTTAGAGGGGAAGGAGGATATGGTCTTCCTCTGGGGTCCCCAGAGCCTATGGAGGAACTTGCCTGGCATACGCTAGGCCTGGAGGGGACAGAACTGCCCCATGGCCCTGAAACACAGTTTACCCCCTTCCCCTACCCGCCTGCCTGAAAACGCTAATGCAAACAGTCAACTCAGACAATAATTCAGACAATTAGTCATCTTCCCTGATGGGGGCTGAGAGCCAGGCTTAACTCCGGTGGAATACCTGGGGTGATTATTTCTGCTGAGGCTGTAGGGATGGGCTGGCTCAATATTGACAGAAAGGCTTGAAGGCGCAGTTGCCCAGCCCCGGGGACCCCCCACTCCACCCCGAGGACCCTCAGCCCACCCCTTTCATGAACACCCCATGAGTCATGTATTCGCACAGCTGCCAGCTTCTCAGACCACCACCCCTGGCAGAAAGGACCCTGTCCCTGAATGCAGGGACAGACTCTTAAAGCGTGCCTCCCACCTTTGACCAACCAAGGCATAGACAGCAGAATCGAACTCAACCACACAGCGTCCGTCCGCAGTGGTCTCCGACAGAATAGCAGAACGCTCCCCAGCCAGGCTCTGGGAATGCCAGATATGCCTTCTCTGCCCCCATTTCACTGTGGTGAGAAAGTGGACCGGCCCCGCCCCAAGGCCCTTCTGGCCCTTCCCCTCTCATCACGCCCAGAGGAAAAACACGTCTTTGTCTTCAGAGACCCTGCTAGGACTATCTCTGCCACACTCTGGACTCATCACAGCCTGGCTCAAGCACCATTTCCTTCTCCAAGCCCATCTCAGAACCCCTTTCACGGGGGACCACTTGAGCCTTTCCTTAAGATGGCTTCACCGAGAGTGGGCATCTTTTTCTAATTCACATAAAGGCAACTTAATGAGCTCACAACCGCTTTGTTAGGGTGCATCCGCCATTTTGTGGACCCTCCCACCAGCTCCCCTGGCCTGGTGAGTCACTGAGTCACTCCCAGAGGTAACTGTGAGAAAACCCTCTGGTGGCTGATGTAGCACCAAGCAGAGGAGGAAACGGAAATCAGTGGGAAGCCAGGACACAGGGATAGATTTAACCAAAAAAAAAAATTTATTGTACAATTACCCACCACTAGACAGGCCAGCTAGAGGGTGTCTCCACCTTCCCAATTTATTTTCAGCCCCGGAGGATGTCATTGTAGATCATGGCCAAGGCCCCCAGGAAAGTGACATATTCTTGGAAGTTCACCACCTGGTCCTTGTTCCGGTCCAGGTCGTCCATCAGCTTTGCAATTTCAGCATCCTGCAGCTTCTAATGTGTTAGAATGGGAAATCCAGACTCAATGGTTTTGAGACCTTGGGTTCTCTGCCTTTCCCCCTCCCAGGCAGCCCCCTCTCATACAAATGGCTCTGTGCTCACTTGTCACCAATGATCCAAGCCCACTTTGGGTTCACTTGGCTTTACTTCTCCCCTGTTCTTCACTCAGGAGGAGTGAATACCAGGCTACGAGTTTCCCCAGCCCCTCGGGGGTGTGGACCAGTGGTCCAGTAAGGCATATGGTCTAGGGCCCCAGAATGTGGGCACCTGGCACCTCACCCTCTTCGAATCCTGCTTCTAAAGGGCGAGAGGTGGGGAGAGGGGGCCTGGGGAGGCTCACTCACCGCGCCGATGGTGAGCTCCTTCTGGATCAGCTCCTTCAGTTCACTCTTGCTCAAGGTGTTCTTGTCACCCTCCTGACTGGAGTACTTGTGGAAGATGGTCACCAGGAGGCCAATAGCCTGATCCAGGGGGCACGCCATGGCTGAAGGCTGGGCTCAGAGCTGAGGGCAGAGAGGCTGCTCAGCGCCCCGGGCAGCAGGGCCTTCTCACTCACCCACACACACCCCAACTCCCTTTGACTACCTGTGCCAAACCACTAAGTGTCAGGTGACACCAGGAGACAGCCCAGGGCTTGTAGGGGAGGGAGAGGGCAAAGTCTAGGGCCAAGAGGCGAGTGCCCTACAGAGGACCAGAGCAGAGGTGGTTCAAGAATTCTAAGGAACAAATAGGACCACAGCTGAGAACTGTCTTCCAGGGGTTCCAAGAAAAGTTGGGGAGTATGTTGTGAGTGAGGGTGGAGGCTGCACACCCAGCCCTACACACACACACACAGAGCCTCACAAGGCCACACACTGCGGCACAGACACACGCCGGGACACACTCTCCCAACCCCAGAAGAGCCACAGTGGGGAGCCGCCCCACCGGATGCCTTAGCCCGGGCCGGCGCGGCCGCTCCCGCCTCTCCCTGCCGGCCCCAGT